ACAAACCATTTACATCATCGTCTCACTGAGCATCAGCCCCCGTCTCGTCCTCCCTCCCTCCTCCCCAGAGCCCATAACCCATCAGTATCCTCATTGCCTTACACACAGTTCACCTCCATGGCCCCTCTCTTCCTGTCATGCTCACTGAAAAACAAAAACAAAACCAGTCCAACCCATCCACTTACTCCAAACCAATGCTCAGGCAGCTGAACATGGCTGAAAAAAAAAAAGATAACATATATGGTAACTGGTCTCAGGTCAAACTCATGACCACGAACTCCAAGTGAGCCCCAGGACTGCTCAGAATTCCATTTCTACTAATCCTTCCACTCTGCCATTCTAGCAACAATTTTATACTTTCTCCCCTCCTCTCTAACTTCCAACTCTACTCCTGCCTTCACTCTTCTCTTGACCTTGCTTCCTAGTTCATGGAAAAAAGAAGCAGTCGGAAGAGAACCTCTAGCTGTTCTCACACCCCACCCTCCGCCCCGCTCGTCTTTCTTTGCTCCAGTTATACCCACAAGCTGTCCTTAAGTCCATCTAACATCAGCCCTCTGCCGTGCCCTGGATCCATTCCCCTCACCCACTCAGTTACAGGAAACATACTCTCTCTCCTACACTATCCATCTTTCCATCCTGACTGAATCATTTGTATCACTTTACAAATATTCTTTAAAATCCCCCAGAGTAAAAAAATAAATAAAATGTTCCCTTCTCTTGATCCCAATCCCATAGACTGATAGATACATAGATAGATTTTGTTTTCCCAGGTGGTCTGAACAAGTTGTGCTCATGTTTATTTATCCTGTGTTGACCTCCGAAAACTAGCTCATGCCCTTGTGCCCATGGGGTTAGATTATTATAATGCCCTTCTAGTCAAGCTTCCAGAGATGACATGGGAATAAGGAAAATGAAAAATGACACCAAAGGAACTGTTTCATTAAACTAAATACTAATGTAAAACAGAACGATGCACCTATTCTAGGAAACCACGACCTGTGTTTAGCACAGATACTTCCAAAAAGGAGGCATTCAGTGAATGTATACTAAATTGAATTGAATCTCAATGGTTTCTCACTTTACAGGTAATAAAAACTTCCTGGAACCCGTGCTATTCAGGATACAGTATTATGCGCAAGAAAATCCACAACTTGTCTCCAAACCTGCAGGATCAGAAGCAGATGAATTCCCCAGAAAAGAGACAAGAGGCAAGAAGGCCTATGGTAGATGTGAGGGGCAATGACCAGGATGGGTTTCCAGGAAGGGTGAGTTCATGAAGAGGAGATGATGCTGGAAGCCTTGATAAAGTTTATTATCAATGTATTTTTAGGGTATGTAAGTGTTTCTAAATTTTAATTCACCCTGACTTGAATTCCCTATATGAAAGGACATATACCACACTTTCTGCCAGAAATGTTATTGACTGTAACCAGAGGCTATGTCCAGAGAAATAAAATACATTAGAAACTCTTTTATTCTTCTTCTATGTTCTGTAAAATATTGTAAAAGTAAGTGTAGTGTGCCTTCTCATCTCAACATAACTGTAGCTTTCTCAAAACATGAAAGAAAACAGAAATTGAAATTTACACCTTCTGCAGGGGATTACTGGGAATGACTCCAAATTAAAAAATATACACACATCTATCAAACACACCCACAAGCTAAGAGATTCAATCCAGCCTCCATGTGAATTTTAGAAGATGATCAGTGATATATACAGTACTTTATTATACTAAACAATAAACACAGGATATATAAGTATTCTGAAGTTACTTAAATCATGAGAGATAATTTATAGTATTTCCAATAGAGTATCACATTCAGCATTTGAAAAATATAAATTTATGAGCATTGTGGTCCAAATAAAGTAAAAATCTCTCTCTCTCTCTCCAATCATCTAGAAATTTAAGTCAAATTATCTATAAGTAAATATTACAGAAGCAAATCATATTGATTTCTCTGGACCATTCTCCATTCTGTTCATTTTGCCTTGCATGCATGAAGCAATCAATGAGTTAATTTCCAAAGCGACCATGAGTTAACTTCTCACCACTGCATTTTGTTCAAATGTTCTATTTTAAATTATTCCTTTAAACAAAGGGCCATTCTTCTATCCTTGTGTTATTGTATGCTCCCTTTGAATAGTTTCCAGGAATAAAATAACTGATCATGAGAAAACAAAACAGTTGCACTTACCATCCTTTGTATAAAGTTATTAGATGATGGTGCTGATTCATGATTTAACAACTCTAACATGTTGTAGCCTACACAGGGTGTATTAAATGTTCCCTGGCAATAGACATCATTTCACATGCTCATTATCAAATTTTGACATGAAAAATTGTAGCTTTAAAAGAAAGTGTCACTTTTTATTAAGAACATTTCCAATCCACAAAAGGGACAGAAGCAATGAGAATACCTGAAAATACAGTGCAGTTTTAACGATATGTAAACACATATTCATTGCAGGACATTACTAAGAAATATTTTTTGGAATGTTTCTTTAGGAACTTTAATTACCATCAATGTATAAAAATAAATAACAGAATTTCTGTCCAGATGGCATGATTACTGCTGTTTTTCAGAAAAAAATATATTTTTAATATTTATTTTAAAAAATATCAATATCTGTCTTACACTTTATAATCCTATCTGAAAAAGAAACAAAATCTGTTTACAGTGCATCACGCTCAAAGTCTAAGTTACTTCTTAGTTTGAGTCCCAAAGAGCACCATTCTTTTTAAAAAAGTAGATCAGTGTGTTTAATAGGCTCCCTCTGGATTTCGTCTCTGATAAAGTTAAAGATGTACCTACTGACTTTGCTTATAGCAATAAAACTGTCACAATAACAGACAAGGAAGCTGGCCCAGATTTTGTTTGGATTTTTCAAGACCTGGCTATTTATTTAGATATCATTTCCAGCATCTAGGTCTCTTATAGCAGTCTCTCCAGTATAAGAAATATGAAACATATAGATTTAAAACATTAAACAATCAACAACTATATAAGACATTCCTTCAAGCAGCAATAATAAACTAAAAATGTTCTATATAAATATGCAAAATATATGTTCCTTTCCTGTCCCTTCATCCCCCTTCCCATCCAAACTCAGCATCATCATGTTCCATATTATTAGTGTATTTGTTATCTAGAACAGGAAACCCCCAACATATTCAGCCAAGTAAAGTATTTCTATACTTTTCTATTATAATAATAATAATAATGTTAAAATTGCAAATGGCTACTTTGTGACAGGAGTTGTTCTAAACATTTTATATATAGCAACTCATTTTGGTGTGTAGTGTGTTACTGAACCCAGGGCACTAGCTTCCTTTCCCAGCTTCCCCTAACCCTGGTGACACTATTGGGAGGTGGGAAATATTTATAAAGAAATAATTTACTTTGATGATGGTGGATATAGGTTCTGAGCTATGAGCTACAAAGAACAGTAGTGGTAAACCAACAAAAAAATGTACCTCCCTTTGTCTTTCATCTTTTTCCATCTTCCTTTGCAAATATAAGGAGTTTTGTTTTCATTTAGATGAAGAAGTTGAAAGAGAGGCTAGGCAGTCTTTCTTAGTCTTAAATCCTTCCCACCCCCACACCCTCATATAATAATTAATATATGACAAATGGGGTTTTCTTCCTTGGAGTTTTCTTTTCTTTTTTTTTTTTCTGATTATGGTCCCAATTTTTTCTCTTCCCATCAGAATGTTATGTTTTAATTATTGCATTCCCCAAACGTCCTTTCCTGAGCACAAATCTTTTGTACTAGACCAGAGTTAAAGACTACCTAATGCACTCCACATGACCCTTAAGAGAGGCGGTGGCTTAAGAAAGGGGTTTCCCTAAATCGGCTGCCAAGAACAGGCAAGCAGTCCCACCGCCTTTCCCTCTTCCGGAAGCACCCACCACCCAAGATCCTCGAGGACTAGTTGTTCATATGTACACAACTCCCATTCCACTACAGCAAAGCTTTTTCAGAAAACAACACAGCACCGCCCCCTCTAACTCCCTGCCTGGAAACACAGGGCTACCCAGGCCGGCAGCCCCTCCCCGAAGCTCGCCTCCCGCATCCTTTGGTCGGGATGCTCCAAGGCCCTGGCCCCAGCAGGGCACCCGCGCGCTCCGGCTCGAAACGGGGAGTCAGGCTAAGGGTGACCGAATCCAAGGCAATTTCCAATGCCCAGGCGGGTCCAGACTGCCGGTAAACTGTGCCTCGTTCACTCACCACCACCAGTCAAGCCCTCTCACACCCCAGCCAGGCCGGCCGCTCTTACGGGTTCCAAGTTTCAATGCTCCCTGCAAGATGGGGACATCTGGGCAGTTCTGGGCGGGGACAGTCACAACTCCCAACCCTATGGCAACGCTGCCCCTCCTGAATGAGACACGCACACCTTGGGATTTCAGTTTTCTGCGGCAGGGACGGGGAGGTGGAGAATGGGAGGGGGAACTGGGAGGGAGTAGGGTGTGGCGATTTGTGGAGGGAAGGGGTAGTAAGGAACACTTCCAGCCACATCTCTGCCCCGGACCCAGCCGGATCTAGCGGCAGCCGGCCTGCCCGTCGCTTTGTTGTCAGCGTCCCTGTAGCGCGCACGCCGAGCTCAAACACGCCCCAAATAATCATCGCAACTGGCCAAGCGGGCCCTACAGCCCCCAACCCCTTGGCGGACGGAAGAAACTTGTACGCGGGCGCACCAACAGCCAGGATGCTGCGGTCTGCCTCCGAGGACAATTTTTAAAGCCGAGATAACAATGATAATGAAATAAAATGAATCGATAGTATTTCGTCTTCTTCTGAGCCTTTGGGGGGGGGAAAATCCTGTTTTCTACCAGTCCGCCAATATTTACGGTTGCCTGGGGCGAAGCAGGCTCAGGTTGGTGCTCAAGGTAGAGAGCGCGAGCGAGGTGCAGAGCCGAGATGCGGAGAAGGGGACCGGGATGAGGGACCCCGTCCCCGACGCCATTTGCGGGGCAGTGGCGCCCGCCGCCCGCCTTACCTGTGGATGCAGTTTCCATGGCAACTGGCGGCGGCCGGGCGGGGCCCGAGTCCAGTTCCCGCGGCGCCGCTTCCCCGGCCCCGGAGCCCAACGCCCGACCGGGCTCCCCCGCCTGCAGCGCCGGCTTGGCCCCTGTCGGCGTCACTGCTTCGTTCTCCCCCTCCCCCCGGTCCCCGAACCACTGGGACCCGGAGCCTGCCAGCGGCAGCAGCTCGTCTTGGGGATCCGGCGGCGTGGCCATGGCTGGCGGTCCCCCCCCACCCACCCCCCGGCGCGGCGAAGGCGGTTTGGCGGGGCCGAGGTGCGGTGCCTGGGCGGCCGGGCGCTCCCTGCTGCTGCCCCCGCCTGGACTCGGGGCTTGGGGAGGCCGCGGTGTCAGCGCCGCCGCCGCTGCTGCAACTCCGGCCGAGCTGCCGGCTGCCGCTCTCCCCGCTTCAGCTCCTCCTCCTCCCCCTCCTCTTCCTCCCGGCCCCGCCGCGGCCGCTGCTTGCGCTCCTCCTCCTACTCCAGCCGCCGCCGCCGCTCGCTACTCGCAAGCCTGTTATTACGCAGGTGAAAATGGCCTGCTTGGTCCTAGTCTCCCTGGGCCCACATCAGCCCCCGGTGGCAGGCCCCGATTAGGGGATGGGCCAAATCCACTTGAATCTTCCTCTCTGTTGGGTAAGAATCTAAGGAGAAGATGAGCAGGTAGAAGCAGTCCCCAGCCGAAGCGTGACGGATGAGGCAAGCCGCCCTCCCAACTCCTAAACTTGAGACCCGACTGGTGTCTTGGGACTCGGGGCAAAGGAAGGAAGCTTGGAGACCTCAAGGCCACGGTTCTGAGGGTGACCAGGATCAGCTGTGGAGGGGACGCGGGTCTGCGCGGGGAAGGGTGAAGATGAATGTTGGCAGGAGACAGGGAGCTGAAACCCCGAGGTTAAATGCTGCGTCCTTAAAAACTGTTGTTTCCAGAACAGGGCTGAAAATAGTGGAGTACTGGAAAGAACTACCAGGAGAGCCTCCGAAAAAAAAGCTTGCCAGACCTCATCCGTACCAGCACTGAAAGCAAGTAGGATGTCACTAGGCAGGACGAAAAGCGGTTATGCTTTCTTTCAGAAACACTGAGCCAAAGCCATACAAATGATAAGCTGTCTGCGCAGTCTATTTTATTTGAGAATGTGGACATCTCAGGAACCTTGCTGCTGCTTTTTTCCCCTCCTTTACAGCTGTTTCAGACAAAGTGGAAGATACTTGAAAGATAAATCAAACTCAGAAGAGTTGGATTATAATGTATTATTCCCATATTGGAGCCATCTTTTCAAACAAAACTTGTACCTTATTTGTTCCTAAATTGTCTATAAAATGATGTGGTTTGGGAAAAAAATAAATTTCAGGCCAACACACAGGGTAGAAGAACAGGCTTATCCATTGCTCTTTCTTTGGAAAAGGTGGAACATGGAGTAGAAGTACTTGGGACGTTGTGAGACAGCTAAGCCACCATAGGCCTATCAAGGGTTTCATACCTGTTGATTTTTTTTTTTAAGGTTTTATTTATTTTTGCAAGAGAGATCGTGAGCATGAGAGGTGGGGGAGAGGCACAGGGAGAAGCAGACTCCCAGTTGAGCAGGGAGCCAGATGCAGGACTCGATCCCAGGTCCCCAGGATCATGACCTGAGCTGAAGGCACATGCTTAACCCACTAAGCCACCCAGGCACACATACCTGTTGACTTTTTATTCAAAGTCCAACTTAAGCACTATTCAGATTCTCCTCAAAAATGCTGAAACTTAAAAGTCTTAAATTGTGCCCAACCCTTCGTTCTTTAGTACACTAATGTTCAAAAGATGTCCAGTGATAATAAATTAGAGAAAATGTATTCACTCAGTAGACAATAAATATGTCTTACTAGTGCCAGATGTCCCTGGAAATATGATGATCACCAAAATTTTACATTACTGTTATCTTTAAAAATTATGGACATGTTCATTATTTTGATTATGGTGATAGCTTCACAGGTGTATACATATGTCAGAACTAATCAAATTGTTCACTATAAATATGTGCAATTTAATGTATATTTTACCTCAATAAAGCTATAAAAAATTACCCCCTCCATCAACAACAACCAAAAAAATTCTTGGTTACCGTGAATCATTATGGTTTTTGAAATCTTTCCATGGGAAAAACAACCTTGTTTAAGAAATCTTTAAGATGAAAAGCTATTCCACTGCTGTCTTTCCATGGAGCTTAATCCTGTTGTGTAATCAGGGGGCATTTGTGAGACTTTTTCAAATCTATTGTTTAGAACTCCTCGGAGCATCAGAAATACCAGATGGAATTTCTCAGTTTCATTATTGATAACATGCCATGAACACAGTAAACTCTAATGAAACAACATTAGGTGGTTATGAGTGGGTACTGGACATTTGAGAATTGTTAGGGTAAGGGAGTTACATACAGAATTACACAGTGTATGCTATTTTGTTTCCCTGGGAAACACTAATGAAAGTCATCATTAAGAAACTGGAATATCTATGCAAGCCTCTTAACTTCCTTATGCATAAATAGATAAGGAATTTGGGAATAGGATTCTAATTATTTTCCATATTTCATCAGATGTTGATAAATAATTGAGAATGTGAGGAGGAAATAGCAAGTTAAGTATATTTAGATTTTGCTTGTTAGAGGAAATTGAAAATTTCCATTTTCATTGCCAATTTAATTGAAATTTCTATTTTGATAAATGATTCTGTTTTGCTCTGCTGAAAAGAGATGTGTTCACTGTTTCAGTTTTAGCAATTTTCACAACCATCTTTACTGTTTTAGATCCCATCTCTGGATATATACAAAGAATTGTCTATTTGGGTGAAGAAATTTTCAGGGTTGTGCTTTGGTTTGAAATTACCAATGTTTAGCCACATTTTTTTATATTTGCACCCCTGTGTACCAACAGAGCTTGGCTAATTTGGAGATTTATGGGCATAACACACAGTCAGCTGTGGAATTCAGGGTTTGCATCGTTGCTCTAAGTTATGAATTGCTCTCACATGCTTTGGAGATTAAAAAAAATAAGGTTGGCACTTTTAAAGAATTCTTAGCAAGAAGAGTTGAGACAAAAGAACTGTCAGGTTTTGTCTTTGAAGACAAAGCTATTGTTTTTTCGAAAAGAAGTTTTGTTCATTATTTCAAAAGAAGGAATCTGATGAGGAGCATTTATTTAACACTAGCTTCTTAACTTAGACCAAACCTTATATCATGGGGAAAAGGGTTCCCCTTTTTTGCCTACTTTTAAGGGGCAGGCAAAAAAAGCACCACAAGTAACAAACTTTAACCAAGATGAAATCCTTTCCAGCTTCAATATTAAAGTTATGTAAGAGCTCTGTGCCTTGGTTTCCTCAACTGTAACCTAGATATTTTAATAGTATCTTCTGTACAGGGTTTGAGGGAGCACCAAATGGGCTGACATAAGTAGGTATATTATTAACGAAAAGAGCACATGCCAGATTATTTCCAGAAAATGGCTTATAATGGTAAAAGCTCTGCCTGCGTTTTTATATTGCAAAGATCAAAGAATCAAAGCCAAAGAATCAAAGAATTCATTTAAAACAAATTTGAAGGCATTGAAAAGAAATTAGATGAGAAATGTTCCCCTATATTGAGTGACTATTGGTCTGTTTCCACTTGAAAATCCTGTAAATATGAAAGGCAAACCTTACATAAAGATAAATATACTTCAAAGGTTCTTTGAAGTAGCTGGGTAACACACACACACACACACACCCCTCAACTTGGAATAGCCTATATCGGGACCGGCAAATAGAATTCATTGATTGAATAGTACTGAATGGGTGGGGCACTGTACTGAGGGTCTTGGGCTATGTTCAGATTCAGTAGGAAAAAGTGCCCAGAAGGATAAGCACTAGCTACATGCAGACAAGTGAAGGAGATGTGGCAACATATGCCAAGTATTTGCTTTCTCTGGGTTATATGTTTATCAGCACCCAAGCCTAGTTTCTACTTTTGAAACTTTTTAGGAAAGAATGCAACTGTGAAATCACTCCCATTGACTTCGTAAGATAAAGTGTTTGATTCAAGATGGGATTCATTCTGCAGCTTCAAATTTTTCTGAAATCGTTGTGTGTGGGGTTGGTTCAAAGCTTATTGTGTCTATAGCATCCAGCTCATTTTGCAACGTGGTTTTTACTCTACTACAATGGGTGGAAGCTCTTGAATTTTATATGGAAAAATGTCCTCCCTTTCCTACTGCAGTGAAAGAACATTTAGATTGAAACTAATTTATAGAGACCATAGCCTGGTGCACAAGAGAGCTGTGTTTTCTCCGGGAGACCACTACAACACTCACAAACATCTCACAACACATTTGGAACACACCAGTCTCCTTCCGTCCATAGGGAGTAGCTGCTGTTTCTGACTCAGCCATCCAAGGGGATAAAACATCAATGCTTCTAATGTCCTCCAGTAGGGAAGGAAAGAACAGAATCGATTGCTTTTTCAGTAACCCAGTTTTGGTTTTCTTATAGAATTTGTGCATTTGAGCAAAACTGCAAAGATTTGTTATTTCTTTGGGCAAAAACATGAATTAGGAGATCTGTAACATGAATTCTCCATGCTTTGGACTCACAAAATACCTTTTAAGATATTCTGAGCTTGAGGAGAAAGCCAAAATCTACATGATGGAGGTAAATTGCCTTTGAACAGTTCTTTGCATTTTGTGAACAGATCTCATTGACTACACACACATGCCAACTTTTAATTTCCAAAATCTGATGAGAGATATGGTATCCTCACAGTAAGTTTTGTATTCATTTGACAACCAATGAATTAGCAGATTTCAAATGTGCTTCTTGGTAATTTGTATTTATTTGTTTTAATAACAGCTTTATTGAGATTTAACTTGCATACAATATAAAGTGTCTAATGCAATGATTTTAAGTATAGTCACATAGTTGTGCAACCATCACCACAATCAATTGTACAACATTTTCATCTCTCCAAAAAGAAACTTCATGCCCATGAGCAGTCACTCTCCACCCCCAAAACCCAAATCCAGTCCTAGGCAATCACTAATTTATTTTCTGACTCCATAACTTTACCTATTCTGGATATTCCATATGGATGGAATCATACAATATGTGTCCTTTTGTGACTGGCTTCTTTTCCTTGGCATGATGTTTTCAAGGTCCACCTATGTTATAGCACGTATCAGTACCTCATTACTTTTTCTTGTATGGATTCTCCGTTGTATGAATATGCTATAACTTGTTTACCCACTCATCAGTTGATAGACATTTAGGTTGTTTCTCCTCTGGGGCTATTATAAATAAAGCTGCTATAATTGTTTGTGTACAAGATTTTTGGGAGCACATTTTCTTTTTATCTTGCATATAACCTAGGATTAGAATTGCTGGGTCATGGGCTCCTGGGTGGCTCAGTTGGTTAAGCAACTGCCTTCGGCTCA